CAGGACTCCAGGATGAGTTAATTAAATGTTTGACCAAATATGTTAAGTGCCATCGAGTCAATTCCAACCCATAGTAACCCTGTATAGGGTTTCCAGGGAGCAGCTGGTGGGCTAGAACCACTGACATTGCAGTTCAAACGACTTTGCAGTCTGACGCATTAGCCCACAATGCCACACCAGGACTCCTTGACCAAATATAGAAGGCTAATTTTTAAGTTGGTAATTTTGTATGGGCTGCAAATGTTACAAATTTTGGCAGAAAAAAGGTTCCCTGTAGGGCCATAGGATAAGCACTCAACCTCAAGGTCAGTGGTTCAAACTCATTAGCCGCTCCTTGGAAACCCTTTATAGGGTCACTGAGTTGGAACTGACTTGACATCACTTAACAAATCCCTGATATATAGTTTCCAAGGAGTGGCTAGTGGATTTGAACTACAACCTTGCAATTCAAATCCACTTTGCAATCCAGTGCTTGCTTATCCAGTTCATTTCAATGAGAGTTCTTTTTTGTTGGCCCTTTACTTTACCAAGCATAACATCCTTCTCCGGAAACTGCGCCCCCCCCCCCCCAACCTATAACATGGCCAATGTACATGAGAGTAAGTTTTGCTATCTATCCTCACTTCTAAGGCATATTCTGGATATACTTCTTCCAAGACAGATTTGTTCATTATGGAAGTCCATGGTATATTCAATGTTTTTTGCCAACATTCTTTAACGTACAAGGCAGGGACATTGGGGCAGTCTTATTCCTGCTTTCACAGTATGCTTGGTAAAACTCTTAAAGGTTTTAAGACAGTGTTTTAGGCACCACTGGGGAGTGTGAATATTTAAGGAGAGAACAGAGACAGGGCTTGAAACTCCACTTCCCAAGCAATTTTGCTTTTCTATTTTATATATTAGACTGAGCTCTGGTAGCGTAGTGGTTACGAATCGGGCTGTTAACCTCAAGGTCGGCAGTTCAAAACTACCAGCTGTTCTATGGGAGAAAGATGAGGCTTTCTGCTCTCGTAAAGATTTTCAGTCTCGGAAACCCTGTACAGGGTCACTATGAGTCGGAACCGACTGCACGGCACATAACAAGTTAGACTTCAATTCAGGAAAAGGGCATGTTAACAACCTTTATGTTTTACAGTTGAGTCTTGAGTTTTCTACTTTGAATTTTTGAAATAAGGATTTGAAATGCCATTATTGCACAGTACAACTTTTCTATCTAGGTTCTGAAAACGAATTTGAGATTGATTAAAAAAAATACAAACCTGGTAGTTAATAACCTCCTGAGAATGGGCAAATGTTTGGTGCTCAAACATCCTGCATGAATGTGACAGATCATGTTTCTCATTCCTTAGCTTAGCAAGCAATAATACTATAAAACAAAGACATTTAAGTGTGTGTCTAAATGTAATGAGAATTCTTTAATACTAAATGAAATTAAATCAATAAGGATAAGGAAATAATAAACACTAAAGAACCTTCTGTTATAACTTGAAGTTTTACATGAACACATTCAATTTTGGAGGGAAGAAAATTCAATGTAGGCATATAGATACAAGGTATGTTGTTAAGTACCGTGGAGTCAATTCTGACTCATAGTGACCCTGTACAGGGTTTCAGAGGCTGTAAATCTTTACGGGAGCAGAAAGCCTCATCTTTCTCCTGCGGAATAACTGCCGACCTTGAGGTTAGCAGCCCGATTCATAACCACTACACTATCAGAGCTCATGCCACCTAAAAACTAACAAAAACAAGCACCTGATTTCTTCTGGGCTTCAAAGTGCCATTTCTGTAACTACTACATTTCTCCAACCTCTCATTTCTTACACTTCTCCTTACTCATTTTACTCTAGCCATAATGGCCTTCTTGGCTGTTCTACAGGGCATACAGTTTCCACCTTGGGGCTTTTGGAATGTGCTTTCTGCCTGAAATGTCCTTCAAGACACCCATGTGACTTGGTGATTTCATTCTTTCAGGTTTCTGCTGTAATGTCTCCTTCCCAAGGTCTTCTCTAACCATCTTACATAAAATAACCACCTCACACAAACACATTCCCTAACACCTTTACTCTGCTTTTTCTCCATGTTGTTACGTGCTGTCCAATCGGTCCCAACTCATAGCAACCCTGTAGAGGGTTTCCAAGGAGCAGTTGGTAAGTTTGAACCACTAACCTTGTAATCCGGTACTTATTATATCGATATATTTACAAGCACATTGCCTGATTCTTCTTAAAAGGTGAAGGGAGAACAAGAGCAGGTGTTTTTTTTGTTGTTGTTTTTTAACCCACTGCTGTTTCTCTGAAACAAAACAATGCCTGGCACAGTGTAAAGCACTCAAATTGTGTTTATCATCATGATTTTTAAAATATCTTTGGAGTGCTTATAAGGGACAAAGCTAAACAGGGGCTCAAGACTTCTGGAAAAACTTATTTTCACAACTTTTATGAATTTATACAAGAGGCACTGAACAAGTGGTTCTGCTTTAGGTTTACACTCCAGTCTACTAGGATTTGAAGTAAGAGGAGGGTAATCCAGTCAATATAATCACTTTACTGCACTCAGGGACTTAACTTGTCACTACTGACTTCCTTCCCTCCCCATCTTATCTCAAGGTTCTTTTGTTTCTCATGAAGTGCTCAGGGATCCATGGAATACTTAGGCTATGACTTACACAGACCAGGCACCTAGACTGACTACATTTCAGCCTTATAACCAGTCCACATCAAATCTCTCTGGGTTATAGGTGATGACTATAAGAGAAAGCCTTCTCAATCAGAGTTGAATCGTGTAGCTTTTATTTCAGTAATCAAAAGAATGCAGTAAACGGAAATTGTACTGATTAACATTAGGCATGCACCTCTACCTGAAACCACTGTTAGTTACTGACCAGCCTAAATTTCCATGACTAATTTAGGCACATCTTTGATTTTTTTTGTACCCTGAAATACAGGGAAAGTTAACTTCTTCCTTGTGGCAGTCCAGTTATGAGAATTATGTTAACTAAAGGCCTCTAGACTCTCAGGCCACCTGAGACCACCCTTTATAGAGGTCTTTAAGTAAATCACAGTATGGGGAGTGAGAGAATCTAGAAAGCTGAAGTGTACAGTCTAAATGCTCCACAGATTTTCCTCCTAGCACTGACAGTCGATTACTAGCTAAGGAGGCCTACAATTATAATACCAAATTACTCTCCCCACTCCATGGCTCCCCATTCTGACACAAATATGAATATCAATCTCCCCAGATATCTGAAATTAATCCACACAAATGACAGATGTTAACCTATGTGGTCCCACTATCAAATTATAGAAAGCAATTCTACTCTCAAGAGTATAGGAAGCAGTTAATGGGAGTTTGACAAAAAGCACAGTCCCACATAGAGTGATATACATTCTGGTAGAGTCTTCCACTCATCTGTCAATTATTTCCATAAGATTAGCATAAAAAACACAACCGAATACATATATAACCCTCAAACCACACAAACACACAATTGGTCTTTGTTCATTCTCAGATGACAGAACATCCCCAAAGCGAAAAAAGGTAGAAGCCAATTCCCCATAGCCTTCTCTTCAACCATCCCATCAACAGCTCTTCATTTCTTGAACTACCTTCCTTCTCCAATGAGGTAATGCTGAGATCAGTCAGAAAGGCTTTCTGAGAAAACTGGCTTGGATTTCTGGGTCTGTTCCAGTCGATTCAAGATGAATTGGCTTGTATCAATGAAGCGCTCAACACAGTTCACAAAACAGGCCTCAGCCCGACTGTCCAACTTTGGCCCAGGCTTGTCCATGCACTTCTCCTGCTCAGGACAAAATACAGAATCATAAAGGGAATTTGGAGTGGTGGGAGAGGGAGTTACTTATTGATCAGAAGAAAAATACCATCTAAAATCAGTATCTGGTATCAATAATATTAACACTTGGCAGGTTGCCAAGTGTCCAGCATTTTTTTACAACCTTAAATTAAAATTTCACAATGACCTTGTAGAACAGATACTACAGTTCCTACAAAAGCCAGATCCTATGTAAAGCAGAAAAGGAAAATCAAAATATTTTCCACTAATAGAGGATGTTAAGGACTACACTTTGTCAAAGGTAGAACACTTGTGAGACTTAGAAAAACAGGGCAGTCCTGTAAAGTGCTGGCTCTCCCAGATTTCGCTGTATTTCATCCTTATTTTACAAAGATGGAAACCGTAGCACAGAGCTATTCTGCCCAAAGCCATAGCTAGAAAATGGTTGGGATGAGATATGACAAAGTCAGAAAAATGACAATACAAGTGGCACAGCCACAAAATTTGGGTGTAGCTCTAATTATGAAATTTGGTTATAATCCTAATACTGCTTACATAAAATACCTTCAAGTTAACTGCAAAATAAAAGGGCAAAAGGATATGCACCGCATGACAGCAGCCTAAAACTTAGCTAAGAACCTTGTCTACTTAAGCCAATGGGTCTTCAACCCTCTCAAAATGAGTAGAAAAGAAAACTCTTATGAATTTTCCTAAACGGTCCATGTTGTTGTTGTTGCTATGTGCCGTGGAGTCAGTTCCGACTCATAGCGACCCTGTATAGGGTTTCCAAGGCTGTAAATCTTTACGGGAGCAGAAAGCCTCATCTTTCTCCCGCGGAACAGCTGGTAGTTTCGAACTGCTGACCCCGAGGTTAGCAGCCCGGTTCATAACCACTTCGCTACCAGAGCTCCATAGCGTACAGATTTTAAAGGAGTCCTTAACCACACCCCCTCCTGAACGAAATGTCAAGAACCACAGATTGGAAATTGATCAGGTAGACCAGAGTTAAGTATGCATTTGTTAAGGGTCAACATCCAGCCATACCATAAAATTTATGGGAAAAGGGATTACAGTCACCGATTAACATATATAGTTCAAGTTAAGTCATGCAAAACTGAATTTCATTCATTCTTTTCTGCTATGTGCACATGCCTCAGAACCTCCAATTTCAAGTTAAGTTTAGCCTTGGCCTCTGAATTCTGTGGGTAAGTATACTGTCCTTGGTAGCCAGAACACTTGCATACCAAGCTGCAAACGCCTTCCACGCTTTTACCAAAGTCCCCTCACAGGGCACACTCATTACCTCAACCTTCAGACCCGAAAACAGCTTAGTGTTACACAATCAAACAAGAAAGGCAAATGAGTGTGTACGTTAGGAGAGATTACGCCACTTTTACTTTATTAGTAGAGCCAATGGGTCATCAATATAAACCTTATAGAGACCACAAATAGCAGATTCACTGAGGCTTGGGTTTCTAAAACAAAAATCCCAATACTAGGGACTCTGGTCTGTCTCGCTGAAAAGTACTAGTCAGCTAGTACCTGGGCTGCCTGCCAGAGATGGGTGGGCAGGAACCTAAGTTTCCTTTGATCCACAGTCCTCTGCACCTACAAATGGAGGTCCTGAGTGACAATCTCCTGAGAAGTGGGGTCACACTTCTCTCCTCCGGCTCGGCTGGAGCAATCTAAGGAAACCATGGGAGTGCGGCCCGGTCCTCCCCTCCCTGCACACTCAACGTTTTAGTGGGGGTAAGGACATAAAGGAAAGTCGAGCCTGTGTCCACGATCCTCACCCAACAAAGTTCCGTCATCTGGTGCACTAGCTGTTGAAAGCGCTGCTTCTGTGTCTCCACCTCAATGAAATGCTGCAACTGTGGGTCCACAGTGCCCAAACCGGCCGCTGAGGAAGACGAGGAGGAATCCATCCCAGCGCGACCACGCGGGCCGAGAACTACTCCGCACCAACTCACCGACCTTCGCGTGTCTCCGCGACGGAACCGGAACCACAACCCGCCTGCTCAAGGGCCCGCCCCTTGATCGGACTGCGTCGGCGCGAAGGCGCTCCGCTCTTGAGCCCGCGCTGCCGGTTCCCGCTGCCATAGGCCCTTGGTCTGCTCCCGCCTCTGCCCGCGGCCCCTGGGGGCGTTTAACCTGCACTTTACTTCGCCTGGACTTGCCGCCCAGAGCCTCTGGGGTGCGAGCAGGAAGTACCTTTCCCAAATGAAATCACCACTTTGGTTTGAAGTTACTTCAGACCACGTGGGCCGTTCTTGGGGGATCGTGTGGCTCCACTTGCAAATTGGCCCGCGTTTTCACAGCCTTTGTGGTAGTGCACCAGACCCCAAAGTCCTATTAGCAATCTTCCGCCCCAGGTTCTAGTTCTTTGACGGAGTTTCTCCCTCCTGACATAAGGAAATAAGGCTCTGGCAGAATTTATCCCCAACTTTCAGGTTGACCCAAATATTTCATGCCTACTGAGTCCCACCAGCTGCTCCTTGGCAACCCTAGACTGGGTCCCTATGAGTTGAAACTGACTCAATGGCATATAACAACAACTGAGTCCAAAACTCAGATTTAAAACCAGTATTTGGTGCCATTTGCTTAGAATTCATATATGTGTAAAGGTGGTGGAGTCCTGGTGTGGCGCTGTGGGTTAATGCACCAGACTGCAAAACCATTTGAACTGCAAGGTCAGTGTTTCAAACTCACCAGCTGCTCCTCGGGAACCCCATACAGGGTCGCTATGGTTCAGAACCTACTCTACGTCACTTAACAACCACAACAACAAAGGTGGTGGGTTGTAATTTTTTTTCTAATTCATCCAAATATATACAATTTAAAAGGAGCTCTGGTAGCGTAGTGGTTACGAATCGGGCTGCGAACCTTAAGGTCAGCGGTTCGAAACTACCAGCCGCTCCGCGGGAGAAAGATGAGGCTTTCTACTCCCGTAAGGATTTACACCCTCGGAAACCCTGTACAGGGTCGCTATGGGTCGGAACCGACTCGACGGCACTTAACAACAACAACATATACAATTTAAAGCTGATTAATGACAGATAAAAGTGGGCTGTTGTTTTTGTTATGTGCCATCGAGTCAGTCCCGACCCATAGAGACCCTGTATAGGGTTTCCAAGGAGTCGTTGGTGAGCTTGAACCACCGACCTTGCGGTTCAAAATGACTTTGCAACCCAGCGCATTAACCCACAGCACCACAGCTATTAGTTTTAGACACTTCGTGGTGAAAAGCCAGAAGCATTCCATCTGTGCTTGTCCAAAATCCAGCAACTCTGCACACAAAAGATTTTGTTGTATATACTTTCATCTGTATCATTTGGACTTTAAAATAATATAAAGGGTGGTAGTAGAAACAGTGGCTTACTACCACTTCTCATAGCAACAAGGAGCCATGGTAGCCTAGTGGATTACAAATTGGACTGCAAAATGCAAGGTCAGCAGTTCTAATCTACCAGCTACTCTATAGGAGAAAGATGAGGCTTTCTACTCCTGTAACAATTTACAGCCTTGGAAACCCTACGTAGCATTGCCTACTGAGTCCTACTGTGGTGCTGTAGGATAAGCACTGGACTGCTAACCACAACGTCAGCGGTTCAAACCCACCAGTCACTCACAGTGACCCTGTCACAGTGACCACAGGGTCACTGTGAGTCAGGAATGACTCAAAGTCACATAACAACAATAAAAATTGTGTGTTCAACCCAGAGCTTTGGCTTATGAATTTGGCCCAGAATCCTCTAAGAGCTTGAGGGGTTCCATGCCAAGGGTCCTGTTGATTTCTCAGTGCAGGAATATGTGAGATCAATTCCATGTTACTGGAATACTAAGATAGGGCACTTCAGGGAAGCTGCCTGATGAATCCAGATAGAGACCTGCAAGCTTTGTAGTAATTTTATTTTATCAAAAAACGTTCTCCCCTGCCAAATTCTGCTTCTGCCTCCCACCTCCATAAGCTCTAATGCCCGCCCAAAGAGCTCCTGTTCCTTCTGTGAGGTTATTTACATCCCTCCATCCCTGCAAAAACGTTTCCATCCAACATTCAGTCTGTCTTAATACTCTTGGGGACTTTCCTGAGGTGATGGGGTAATACCAGGCAAAATAATTCCTTGACCTTTGCTCTCCAGAGGAGTCAAAGAAGAGAGGCATTCCTAGATGTAGAGTATAACCATTGTGTGTCCAGGGAGAACATGAAGGCCTCAGGGCCAGGAAGGATGGGTTTTCCTCAGAGAAACTGAAATTGGGACTTGTGGAAGAGAGGAGTAGAACCAAGAAATATATTGGCCAGCTCAGGATTCTTCATCCATGACATCTAGAATGTTGCTCAGAAGAATTTTGAAAGTGGGACGTTCATCTGCTTTCTAAAACCAAAGAAAAAGTAGAGTGTTAAAGTGAACTCGAGTTCAGAATGAAAATGCAGTGATTACGCAGCAAATGTTTACTAAGTGCATACTATATATCCAGCAAGATCAGCACTGGACTGCTAACCACAAGGTTGTGATGAGTCAGAACTGACTTGATGGCACAGAACAACAACATATATCCAGCAGCATACCCTGTCAATTACAAAAGAAAGAAAGAAATAGAACTACAAGCTCTCCAAAAAGTCCTTGTGCTCTCTCCATTGTTAATAATTCATGTTATAAGTATGATAAGAATAATTTGCCAATTATACTGATTAAAATTGAGGGCAGGTCTATTATAATTGTACACCAATACATTATTATTTTGGATGTTGTTGTTAGGTGCTGTCAAGTCCATTTTTTGCTAATAGTCACCCCTTGTGACATAGTGGTGGTGGTGGTGGTGTGCCGTGGAATCAGGAAATATGGGAGCAGAAAGCCTTATCGTTCCCTCAAGGAGCATCTGGTAGATTTGAACTGTAGACCTTTCAGTTGCACCCCAACTCAGAATCCAGGGCTCCTTTGTGACACAATAAAACTGCTCTATAGGGTTTTCTAAGGAGCTCTGGTAGCGTAGTGGTTACGAATCGGGCTGCTAACCTCAGGGTCAGCAGTTCAAAACTACCAGCTGTTCCGCAGGAGAAAGATGAGGCTTTCTGCTCCCGTAAAGATTTACAGCCTTGGAAACCCTGTACAGGGTCGCTATGAATCAGAATTGACTCCACAGCACATAACCACCACCACCAAAGTAGTTTTTAATTAGCAGTCCAGTCCCTCTTCATCCTGCACCGCAGAGGAGTGAGAAGGGAAATCATTGCAAGGGATTTGCCTTTTCTCCACACTTTGTGACCTCTGTCATTTATTTATTCAAGGGCAGATACTCCAGATACCCACTCTTTACTTCTCTCTACAAAAGGGCTTCCGACTCACAAATGTGCTTGATGGACACTGTCTGTCTTTCTTGTTTCTAGCTGGGGCAAACAAAGTGCCAGGCACTTATTTCCAACTAGAGCTTTAGGTTGTCGAGTTAAGGTTACCAAAGAACTACTGAAATGTAGAGAAGGTACCTTGGGAAGAATCCAATATGCAACCAGTGAAGCATTTAGTAATAGTAGGACAGGCTCCTTATTTCTAAAATACCACACTCACCCACATAGCCCACAGAGGCCCCCCCCCCCCATTTTTTCTTTCAAGTACTAGCTATTTGAGTTCCCTTTCATGCCTTAGGGTTAAAAAGTAATCTTATCTAGGACCTCAGGCAGAAAAGGTTGGTAGCTAGTGAAATAGAAGAAAAGGGCCAATGACTCCCCAAGGCAGGAACATAAACTTTTATGACTTATCATTTTTAATGTCCACACACTGGTCTGGGTGCCTTTGGCTGCCTGATTTTCTAGATGACAACCCCCCTGCTCCCACAACGCCCTCTTTCCCTAAAATTGAATAAAACTGAGTTGGTATGAGAGTCTGCATAGCGTAGTGGTTATGAATTGGGCTGCTAACCTCAGGGTCAGCAGTTTGAAGCTACCAGCTGTTCCACAGGAGAAAGAGGAGGCTTTCTGCTCCCGTAAAGATTTACAGCCTCAGAAACCCTATACAGTGTCGCTATCTGTTGGAACCATCTCCACGGCACATAACAACAACAACAATGATACTTTAGACTGCCTGGGTGGTAGAAATAGTCAAGCCCTCAACTACTAGCCAAAAGCTTGGTGGTTCAAACCCACTCAAAGACTCCTATGAAGACAGGCCTGGTGATCTGCTTTCAAAAGGTCACAGCCCTGAAAACCCTATGGGGCAGTTTCACTCTGTACACACGGAGTCACCATGAGTTGAAATTCATTTGACAGCAACTAAAAATAATGATACTCTAGTGAGAACTGGGAGCCCTGTGTGGCACTGTGGGTTAATGTGTCAGACTGCAAAGCCATTTGAACTGCACGGTTGGCGGTTCAAGCTCACCAGCTGCTCCTTGGAAACCCTGTATAGGGACGCTCGGAACTGACTCAACGGCACTTCACAATAAGTGAGAATTGGGGTAGGCCTGGGAAAGCCTCTGACCATCAGAGAATTGGGGGTGCAGGCTGGGGTAAGGGAATGTGTATAGTTAATGTGTGCCCAGCTGGCATGTAGCCATGTGGAAACAGAGGTGGAAACTGAGTTACTTGTAAAAGTAAGTTCAAGGAAATAATTTAAGAGGTCACAATAAAATACTCACTTCATGCCAGCAGCTGTACATGATGGTATATACCCTCTCTGAAGCCAGATGAGGCCTATAGAGACGTAGGCCTTGGGCAATGTGTTCTGCAGTTTCACTGTTAGTAAATCTCTCATATGGCATCTTCCCTAGAGAGTAGACTTCCCACATCAAAACCCCTAAAAGATGAGGAAAAAAAAAACGTATTGGTAGTCTTTTGGGGCAATAAGAGTCTTTGTCTTCCAAGGTTAATCTCTAAGATTAGAATCAACTGTTCCCCCCTCTGTGCTTTTTACATTTGTTATAGTACATGGGGTGGTGATCAGGGTTCCTGTAGAACATTAGTTATTGTCTGATAGGGACAAGGTTTGCA